GAGGTGCTGCTCGAAGCAGCACTGGCCTGTAGCCCCAGCATAACTGAGCCTGAGCTCTTCCCACGTGCTTTCTTGTCCTTAATCAAAAATGTGGTCCTTGGCTGACTGCAAGTCAGCAGATCTGCAGGAGGCAGTTACGGGGGGTCAGGATGCTTGTGCCATACCTTCACTGAGCACTGGAAAACCTGACCTTGTTGTAGTCTGGTGCCTCTGGCTGCCCGAGCAGTCTCCCTTGCTCCAGGGTAAGTCTGGTAAAAGTGAAAGGGTCAAGCTGCTAAAAAGGGCTCAGGGATAAGCGACAGAGAATATGGCTGGCGATGGCTGCACCAGCTAACTGTCCCCAGGGGGGTTTGAGTGCGCCAAGGCTGATGCTTTGGTGTAGTAAGCACGCTGTTTCTTTAACAGCATAAAAGCACAATGGGAATGGCTGGCTTCCTGCAGATTTTTGTTGTTGTTTGCTTAGCTATGTGGAAATGTATTTGATTAGGAGACAGAGAGAGAGGTTAAAAATAGGACATTAATATGATATTATTTGTTTTATCAAATAAAATGCTTAGAAAATGTTTATCTTGTCTCATGAGAACAACAAAAATAGAGGCCAGCACTTCTCTGCAGCTCTCTTTAATGAGCTAAATTGGGCTGCATTGTCGATGCCTCTAGAAGTTTTGGGGTGAAATGAAGGAAGTTCTAAGCAGAATTCCTTGTAACCACAAGCACTGGGTGTGCCTGACTGTAGAGCCAAAAGCATCCTTTAATTGTGCTGGTTTTCCTCCTCTTATTTTTAATGGAAGACATTCCCACTTGAGAACCTTAGAAGCTGACATGAAGGGCTGGGTTCTGCCACCCATATTGACACTGGCGTGTATCAGACTCTCCTGGTGACTCGGTGGCAGGCAAGGGGGCTGTTTGTGCAGTGGAGCGAGACTCGCGATGTGCCGGGGCGGCAGGATCAGGAACACAGCGTATTGCAGATCTGGGGAAGGATGTGGTGTTTGTTAGATTTTCAGAACGCGTTCACAGAAGTTGGATTTAACTTGCAATGCAGTGAGCTCAGATGTTGTAGATGAGCGGGGGAAAAGGTGGTGAGATAGCGTCTCCTTCTTCACTTTTTCTTCTTCATGCCAATAAATGTAGCTATAGATGAAAATTCACTGTGAATGGCTGTAGCTCCAAGAATTTCTGTATGTTAGCATTTCTTAAATGAAATCATTCTCCTGGAAAGCTCTGTGTAACATACACAGACCCAAAGAAATAAATAAAAGAAAATAAAAAAAATTGCAACCAAAAAACCCCAAGTTGAGATTTTTAACAGAAAAGGGAGATTTGCGTATTAATAATTCATGAGTTCTCATTGAACATGCACGAAGAAACGGTGCTATTCAATAGAGAATACTGTCATCTGTCACTGTTTTATTTGACATTTACACTTTTTTTTTTTTTTTGCCTGGTACTGCAAAACTTTCTTGGATGGCGTGCTAAGATTATTTAAATAAATAATTAAAAAAATCTGATGCAGACTTTTCATCTGTGCATGGGGAAGGCGGTTACTTGTAATCATAAAGAATGTGTGAGTAAGCTGCAGCACTGTGTTTTCTCACGTATTATCCAAAGCTATCACCTAATAAGCATCCCCGTAGATAGCTAGATAAGGTCTTGAATGGATGGACAAGAGAAAGAATTCTCGAATAAATAAAAGGAAGGATGGGAAAAGAGCAATGAAAGGATGGATTTGATGCAGATAAGTGTACACATGCACACAGTGGGTACATGTGTGTATGTGTGGGGGTGAGCGCATGATGGCTGTTGTGAAGAAAGCTGCCACAAATATATTGCCGTTGCAATGCAAAAATAAATATTTATAAATGGCGTTGGGGGAGATCCAGTCCCGCACAACGTGAGAGAAGACAGGGCATTTAGCACAATGACAATTCAGAGTTAGGCGCACCTTGCAATTTCTTGCTAATATTAGGCTCATGAAAATCTTTCTGCTCTGTAGGTTAGTTATTATTTATAAAAATCACAGAACCAGCTGATACATTCATAAGCTAATTATTGTAGCAGCTGGGTACACATGGTGCAATATGTCTGAGGCTGTGAAGTATCACAGATTTCTTGGGGCCTGCTGTGGTGGGGGTGTGCTGTTGAAGGCTAGATCCCTTAATCTGATCAGCCAAGCAAATACTTTGTGGGGAAACTGGATTAATATCTCTCTAAATACCACGGATGTGCTTCACCTTCAGAACCAGGCTCCTTTAAACGTGCCATTAGCTTATGTCCTTTGGGGAATGGAGAAGTTCTCAGGTGTCCTCAGGATGGCAGGGTCTTTGCCTGGTGCCTCCCTTTGCCAGAAATTAATTTGGTTTGCTCGTGTCTGCACACATGGTCACACTGCAGTCTAATCTTTTCCCTAATAGCTCCAAGGTCAGGACCTCGCATGTTGCCAGGCAAATTGAGCGCTATCCTTCTTAAAGACTAATGGCAGCGAGTGCCTAGTCCATAATGAGGCCTGTAGTGTTGCTCTAAGTGATTGTAATGAGTGCTGATTATAACGGGACAGATAAATCAAAATGCAGCAGTTGCCATCGGGCTAGCCGACCCAACTTTGGGAAGGGGAGGTGGCCTGGCTGAGCTGTCCCCACAGCCCTCGGGAGAGCCCCAGGAGCCTTCATCCCCCGGGCCTGCCCCGCATGGGGCTCCGGCTCCACCGGCTGCGGGGTTTTGTGTGTATTTTCTGTCAAACGATGGGGCTTCATGCTGCAGCATCCCTCGGGAGGTGTTAAACATACCTGCTTGAAACATTCGAAAGAGTTCACTTGGAGCCTTATTCAGATCACTGAAAACAGAGAGAAGTGGGGGCTTATTTTTTCCACAGATGGTTTATTTTCCGTTTCAAAAATTATTTTCTTTGTATGGAGGAACCCCTGAGAAAACACGCTGGAGCTGGGAGATTTTCTTCCTGTCTTCTCTGTAAAAGAGAGAAAGTTTGGGGGGATTTCTGAGCAGAGGGAAGGGAAAGAGGAGAACTGAGGGCAAGGGATGTGGCCACACTACATTAAAATGCAGACATCACCTGGCTGAGAGATTACCCCAATACCAGCCAAAATACTTTGAAAATATAATACAGATTATTTTTTTTCCCTAAGTAAATGATTAGATATCTTGTTTTCATCCTTGCCCCCCCCCCCTCCCCAGCCCTCCTAGTTTATTGCAAGAAAAGATCAGGTCTGCACAAATGTGGCCTCTCACTTGTAAAAACAAGGCAGTGTTGTGTTACAGATTAGTTTATAAATCCCTGGTGGCTTCACAGTTCAGTGCCTACAGCTGCTGCAGATGGGCCTGGGTTTTTGTCTCTTCGCTGTGCTGCAGCCGGCAGTTGAAGGAGAAAATGGAATGATCAGGTTATTAACATGTAGGCCGTGAGGAAGAGGCTGCACAATGAGAACAGCTGGTGTTGCTGTCTTGGCTGATGCAGCGGAGATAATCAAATCTTGCCTTTTTTGGGGGGGTGAAGGCAGAAGACACAGTGGAGAGTAAGACAAACAACGGCTTATGATATTATATATGGGGTTTAGAGCGCACGGTAGAAGTTGTCAATGGCTTACAAGTTGTTACACAAAAAAGCAATACCAAAAAGCCCCCACGTGGGCCGGTAATGAACCTGGCTGTTCAGCTTGCTCCAGTCGCTGCTTGGAAAAATAGGGTTTTGGCTACTTCTCGTACCCAACATTTTTAACATTGATCAAGCTATCTCCTAGGTATTGTAAGGTGCCTGTCAAAATGGTGTCAGAATGCTGAGTTGTAGCTCGAAAATGATGGGTTATAAAGCTACTAGGTAAAATATTTTGACAGGAGTCAGTAAGGCGCGTTGACAGCATCCTCAGCATTGTCTTCCTGTACTCTGTCATTTGCATTGCGTCTCCTCTGTGCAGGCACAGGGGGGGAGTAGTTGTCCCCAGCCCCAAGTGGGGCCGGCTGCTGGCAGGCAGGACGGGGCTGGCTGTGTGTCCCCCACCAGCAGCTGCAGCAACAGCCACCATCCCTGGTTAGCCTCCTGGGGACACCAGGTCACCTCCCCCCTCAACGTGCTCAGTGCACGAGGGGCTCTCCTCACCTGAACAGCTATCGCCGTTGTGCTCTCGGGTGGGCTTTGTGTTTGAGAGTGGTGTCCTCTTCCTGAAGCCCTTTGCTTTCCCTGCCTGGGGTCCAAGCTCTCAGCCCCTGTGAAGAGGTCCTGCAGGATTTCCTGCAGTGGTTCCTTGTTGAAGGCATTTTGAAACTAACCTTGGAACAATACAGCAGGAATAAAATCTACTGTTATTATGATCTGTAGTTGGGTTTAGAATAACCTCCACCTAGTATCTTGATCTCTCTAGTAACTTCTGCAGGACCCTGTTTGCTGCTTTCCTACTAAATACTAGAGGGTTCACTTTCTGTGAGGTTGCATCTTCTAAGTGGCCATTTGATTATTTACAGTTGTCAAATTTTAGTGGGGTTCTGAGCTGGGAGAGGTCTTTACTTGGTGGTATCTTCTCATAAACATTTTCAGTAGTGGTTGAATTTCTGGTCCTGCAGCTGTAACCCCATAGCATGAGGGTTGTTAGCAAGTCTCAGGGGTTATGTCTCCTTTCCTCTTGCTTGGATGAAGAAATAAAGGGACTCTGAAAGGGAAGTGCAGATGCACCTTTATTTCAACTCTGGTTTTCTATGTTACATATTTATATCTGCGCATTTTTAACATGGTATGATTTTGACAGGGGGGAAGATGCTGTGCTTTCTGGTTCCTATAAAGCACTGCTGGTTGTGTCTGTTTCTCCAACTTGCAGGAAACAGAATACATCAAGGATTTGTTGGGACCAAAGGGCGGCTGAGGGCAGGAGGTGTTCTGTGTGAGATGAGACCAGCAAAACTTGCAGCACAGAGCTTTAGGTCTAGCTGATCTTGCACTCACATCTGGTTCCTCGGTGCTCAGTGAATTAACTGTGCTGACCCCCCCGTTGCAGGGCTGGCTGTGTGAGCTGCTTCGCTGGAAAGAAAACCCAAGTCCGGAAAACCGCACCCTTTGGGAGAACCTCTGCACCATTCGCCGCTTCCTGAACCTTCCCCAACATGAGAGGGACGTGATCTACGAGGAAGAGTCCCGACATCACCACAGTGAGCGTATGCAGCATGTTGTCCAGCTCACTCCTGAGCCCGTGCAGGTCAGAGCACTAACTTCCTTCTCAGGGCGTCCGGGGGGCAGAGGGAGAGGAGGTGGGAACAACTGTCAGAGGTAGAGACAAGCAACTGGTTCCAGCTTCCTTCTGCTTTGCAGGCTGGGACACACCAGTTTGCATCTGTCTGTAGGGCCACATGTAAGCTACAGCTCTCAAGTTCAAAGCTCACTGTGTGTATGTTGCAGCACGTGCGTGAGTGTGTGCAGGTTTGTGTTGGTGGTTGAAGAGATGGGATGTGCCAGTCCCTGCCACTGATAACAGCAAGGTCAGTAGTGGTGATGTTATAGAGCCCCCCCGGTGTCAGTAGTTGCGTTGTGGCTGCTGACTTTTAGAGGAGTAAAAATGTGTTCCTCAGCAACGGCAAGAAGTGTGCAGTTATTTAGGAAGCAGAACAGGAGTGGGGGCTTGGTCACTTGCTCCTTCTCACAGAACCTGAGCACCCCTGATAACCACTCTCAAGCAGTGGCCAACGGGCAGCTGCAGCCATACATTTACTTTTGTTTGAAGGAGGATTCATGAAAAGTAGGAGGGTAGGAGAGGAAGTTTGTCCATGCATGGGTAACACAGAGGTTTTGAAGAATGTAACACGGAGAAGTGGGTTTTATATATTCATGGAAACTTTTAACAGTACTGCTAAAATGACCATGGCCATGCAGGGAGCAGGCCTTCATTTTACAGCTTCCTCAGGATTGTTTTGCTCTTCTCTACAACCGTTGTGACTAGTATGAATTTTTGGTTTGTGCACCTTTGTTCTATCCTTGTCTCAGATCTTAATAGAATGAGAAATAAATAGATGCAAATATGTGTAGGGAAAATGAAGTGAAAATACTACAAGATTTGTCATCTTTGCAGTTCCAGCTTCAGTCAGAAGGGAAAATTGGCCTTCTGTGTATTCCTAATAACTAGTGATGCATGTCACAACCCCAGACATCTGCTGATGGTCAAGAGAGGCCCTGGAGATGTTTTTTCAATCTAAAAAGCTAAGGTGACACTTTCCACAGCAGTCCATCCTTTTGGATTGCCACTGGCACTTGGTGCCATTCACCTGATCCCATTGCGTGACTCGATAATCTCACAGATCCTCCTCCCACCTTTGCTCTCCCCGTTGTCGTTTGATGATGGCTTGCACTGCTTTGCTGCTCTTGCTGTGAACCTTGGCATTCAGCCTCTATTCTTTGTCACTGCTCTTGTTCTGCTGCTGCTAGCACTGCTGCCAGCTATCTAGTCACCTTTCTTCAAAGGCGGGAGGCTTTTCTGTCGTGTAGTCCTGCCCCTTCTGAAACACGTTGGTCTCACCCAGATTAATTATTGCCTAGTTCAGCCTCCTTTCTCTCCTTTCTCTCTTCTGCTGCTGACTTCCTCCTGGCTTTCCATTTGGTCTTTGCCTAGAAGAAAAAAATAGGTTTCCTGTGGTTCGGATTCTCAGAGCTGTAAAGCAGGGGTAGTGCTCTGAGTAATTAACATTGCAAGTTTTGCCTTCCATGTTCTCAAAAGTTTGTGGGAGGCAAGGAGCTACAAAAGGGGAAAGAGCCGAGCTAACATGTGGGAAGATGACTAGACCTCTGTAGATTTGAACATATTAACCCAGTTCTGGTGCCCACAGCAAGCCAGAAAATCCTCTAACGGACAATTTGAAGAAAAAGTTTTCCTGAGCTCTTGTGGGTGACCTTGATGATTAGCCTACTTTCCAAAGCCTCCTGCACATCACTTTTCTGCATCATGCAGGTTGGCTCTTGTGAGTGACACGTTACACTGTGTTGGAATGTGATGCATTTGTATTTGTCAGCAAGTTACAAAGCCATGGATTAATTATTTATTACAGTCAAAATATGAAAAATGAAGAAAAATAAATGGAACCAGCTGGCAACTACATACAGCAAAACTCTGGAGACTCTGGTATACAGTTGATACAGTAGGCTTGTGTTTTGGGGGTGCTGCATTTTAAAGCTATGTTTGCCCATCCAAAAACCCCAGTAGGCTTCCGAGTGGCACGCTACCAGTGGAAGACACAGGAGTCTTGCTGTCCACCTGCTCCCTACTGTCAAAACATACCCTGCACCAAGCAAAATTTGTCTAGCTTTTGGTCTCTGGGACTTGAATTGTTTCAAGCAGCAAGGTTTGTTTTTTGGCTTTGCTGCAAGGGTCACTATTAGGTAATTAGCCATGAAGAATCAGTGACAGCAGCCGGCGACGTAAAGCTGAGGTCCTCACACTTGCAGTCATTGGAGATTCTGTGACACTTTACATAAGGGTAGAGGTCTTGGGCCCTGCTGCTGGCCCGGCTCCAGGCCAAGTAATTACATTCTGCCTATCTGAAGTTCCCTCTGCAGTGTCCAGTGGGAAAGCAACTCTCATTTCCTTCTCAGAGTGGTGGCGGGTGCGGAATCTCTGCCACAGTGCCTGGCTGCGTTTTAGCAGGGGGTGGAAACATCCAGGAGCTGCAGTCACCGACCTACTTTGCTTTGCAGGCTTTGCTAGTGAAAAGTGCACTGTTAAGTTGAGCCCTTACCTGCAGCCTTGATGTCAAGATGAGAGTCCTTTGAAGAAAATATAGGTAGCAGATAACTGCAGGTGCAATTCTGTAACACCAAAGCAGGCAGGAGGCTCTTACCTCACCTCTTGCCCTCTGCTGTGATGGGTTTCACGTGTGTATGGGTACCATGTGTCTGACGTTTGAGTCTCCTGCTCCTCCAGCTGTGAGACTGGGAGAACCTCAAAGCGGGCTGCCCCGTGCTGTTGCTAGAGCTCCCTGCCACAACGATGGAGCCCTCGCTGGGCTGGGGACACCCCTCTGCCAAACTGAAGGACTGGGAAGAAAGTCCTGGCTATCATCGCAGGAGGCACAAGAAAACGTGTAGATAAATTTCAGCCTTTTCCCCGGTGTGGCTTCATGGAAGTGGCAAAGATTTCATTGTGATGGGTTTTGTGTAGTTCACTTGCAGGTTACAGTGTGCGCAGTGGGGCAGTCGTTGTAGGAGATGAGCTGGACACAACTTGGCTTTTGATGTTTAAGGGATTGTTGTTTATTTTGTGGCAGGTTCTTGCCCTCTCTTCAGTATTACTAGCCTGTACCTCACTGCTTAGCTTTAGGTTCAGGGCCTTAAACAGAAACATTTTCATTTTTTTCTCTCTTCCATTAGATTTTTCGTGTCAGCCGTATATTAATCCATTTAATCAAATACTTTCCTGTTTCTGAAATGAAAAATGTCTATAGTGGAAGCTCAGCGCACAAGAAATTCCTCCCTGCACACTTGATTTATTTGTTATTGTGCTAAGGAGTCATAAAATGTGAGCCCTGTGGAGCTCTGTGACATGGCTGTGTTCTCTGGCAGCATCGGGTGTGACCATATGGACGTGCCGGAGTGTGGATTTTCCTTCACATGCCGGTTGCAGAGCATCCGTGCTCACACCTACATGTGGCTGTGCCTGCAGGCTGAGCTCACCACAGCACATTTCCCTGGGTTTAAAGGAAATTCAGGTGTGCAATAAGTGGCTCTTTCTCCCTCCCTTTCTGTGCAACGCGGTGTCATCCCAAAGTGCTGCTGTAGGACTAAGACCTGCGAGGTTGTTGCGAGCTGGGTACCACAAGGACCCCACCTCTGATTTATGGAGTGACTGAGCCACAGGTTCCTGAAGGGTGAGAGGGTATGCCAGGAAATATTATTATATTTTTGCCCTGTTCTCATCCTCTTCCACCACGGTCAGAGATGGGATCCTGGCTGGACCTTTGATCTGGCCTGGCCTGACTCTTAGGTAGATACATATGTGCTTCTGTGTTTAGCTTCCTGCTCTGCAGAGGTGAGGGTGCCCTAACTTAACTTCCCATCCCTCGCTAAATCCCGCTATTCCCAGGCTGTGTGCTGGCATTGGAGCTTTCTGGAGGGTTAGCACTGAGAAGTGCCTACAGCCACTTCCCCTTGCCAACCAGGGATTCGGTGTTTGTTACAGACATGCTGGGACACAGTAAATCTAATTTCTCTCCCTTTTCCCACTGTTCGTCTGCTGTGTCCAAGGTGACCACTCCGGAGAATAACCATCTTGCCTGGCACTTTAATATAGTGCTAATTCATTGTTAATTGCTGGGGCAGAGAAACCTGACTCAGTTGGGAAAATGATGTATCGAGCTGTTGTCTCTGGAGTGTTGGGGTGGATAAGCCGGTTCCCTGGAGTAATGAGCCACCACTGCAGCAAAGTACCTACTATTTGGAGAGCAGGGAAACCTTGCTTTTCATTTTCTGCCGAAGCTGGTAGGTACATATTGATTTAAAAGCAGCCAAATGTTGACTTTATAGAAACAGGAATGGTTTTCGCATGCTTTCTGATACACTGTTACTTTTGTCACTTTTTAAAAATGACGTTCCTCCGCCCTTTTTTTCTCAGAAGCTTTGATTTAGACAAATCTGGCAATTTATAATAGTTCAGATCGTAAATCATGGAGAAACATTAGTAAATAAAAGAAGGCATAGCAGAAAGCTGTAGGAAAGCTCTTTTGTATTGTGTGTTCACTGCAAACATTGTGGTCTCTCTTTAAATATGCGGAAAATAACATACCACAGAAGTAAATGAAATACTAATTTTGTCATTTTGTGAGGGATGGAAGGGAACAAATATTTTAGAAATTACAATGAAACACAAAACAGCAGAACATGGAGCCCTCGTAAAAATGGGTCAAAGCAAGTGGCGATGGCAATCCAATGAAACTAATTTCATATTCTCTTTCTAGAAGTAATAGGGAGGGGAATGAACACCACAGTAATGCTTCCTAATGAAGTAGCTGATTCTAAACATTGTCTTAGAGTTCATGGGTCACACAAAGCATAGCATACAGATGGAAAAAACAGTGAGACTTAAAATTTCTTTTCTTAAAAAATAATATTAATTAATAATAGTTGGGCAATCATAGATGGTAAGTGAAGCAAAACTGTTATTCCATGGGAGAGCATGGTGTGCATAATGATCTATAGGATGATGTGCACGGTGAGTTT